GGGGCAATAGCGGCAGTGACAGTAGGGTGGTGGCTCGTTATGAGGAAGACGTCCCTTTTTCTCATTCTTTTATTTTTCTCTATATATTTGATCTTTTATAAATTGTTTGATAAAATATAAGCATATAGTGGTTGGACCATTTTGCCCTACATAAAAAAGTCATGTGCATGTTAGTCGACTTGATTTAATCCTTGATTTGGACGAAAACCGTGAAAAGGTCCTTAATTTGTTAATATCTCAAAGTTGGGGACAAACTAGACGAAAAATTGGTTGTGAACAAGATTGCTAATTTGGCCAAAGGTTGGGGACTAAATTTGCAATTTACCCTAAGATTTTCTAGACGCTGGACTGACTCTTAGTAAATAGTCTAGCCAATATGAAACCTTAAACCGGTGAACAAAGTAAACGCAAATTTTATCAATTTTCAAAGAAAGACTAAGATGCTTGGAAACTAATTCTAAATTCGTTGTGAAATTCAGTATCTGTTGATGACCGGTATAAAAATAAGATAAAAATAAGATAATATCTTGTACTCGCATATTTTCATTAATCTCTTCTGAATTGTTTATCGATTTCTCCTAATAACTTCTCCTTCGAAGTAATTTCAGAATCCCAGGAAAATTTGGGGCTGTGGGGTATTGCATTCCAATTGCTAAAGAATTTATCTTTAATAATGAATATTTCCTTCTCGTACAAAAATTTTTCCTATGAGATTTCAAGTCATAACTATTGAGTTTTTCTGTTCTCATAAAAATCATTTATTAATAAAAAAGTATGTGTATGTATACTGATTTCAGGATCAAGAAATTCACTTTATTCTTGTTTGAACATGGATAATTTTATTCATCATACGTAGTCCAAAGTGAATTCCATTTAACAAATTTTGGGCAAAATAGAACTATATTAAAATTTCAGTATCACTTGGCTTTTGTTCGACCAAAAATTATGGGCTCGATTCGAGCTTTCAGCTTGGACCTTATCGAGCCGAGCTGTGCCAATTAACATTTTTTATAGGCAACTAGGTAGCTGCCTATAGCTTCATTTTTTTGGGAGATTTTTATAAATGGCCTGCCATTATTCATTTTTGATAAAATGTCTATAATACCCTTAATGAAAGGATTTGTCATATTTTGCACAAGATATCCTTAATTTATTGGGATAGTTCTAAAATTCCTCTATTTCTCTCATTTCGAATTTTAATATATAATTCCATCCTTTGATCTAATAAATTAGCATAATCTGTAATATAATTGTCATGTAATTTACTAAGATTATCATATTCCTTAGATGAAATATTCATAGTCTCTAGTTGAGCAAAAATATTTTTTATTTTTCCCAATAGTTTTTCTAACAGATTATCTAATCTTTTAATTGTATAACCTGGCATTATTCAGATAATTCCTTGCAAGCTTTATGAATAATAATAACATGTTAGATAAGGTTTTTGCAAACATGAAAAGTAATAATCCCTACGATTCTTTCAAGATATTAGAAGAATTCTTTCTAAATTTAACAAAGACAATAATTTTACCTTACTTTTGATCTTAAATCTGTATTCTTAGAATCGAGTGACCTTCAGGCTCTGAATCTGCAAACTGCTCCCTCAAACGGCCTCTTGCCTCAATGGGAATTCTGCTATTTCAGCTTCTTGCCCTCACTGTATATTTTCTTAGAATTAAGAATAAAGATTTTAAGTAAAGAAAATTCTCTCTTTGTTAAAGTAAGAAAGAAATTATCTTCTTCAATCTATCAAGAATCTATGGGATAGGAAATTTAGAAACTCATATCTTTCTGATATCAAAAGATTGAGATTTTATTTCTATAATGGTTTATACAAGATTTCTATTGTAAACAAGGGGTTTCCAGAAAAACTGGTTTTGAAAGCTTAAAAAAAGAGAATGATTTCTAACTCGAG